GCACGCATATAGTTTATTACATGGATTGAGACATAGAATACCTTTTATACTGAAAAAATTAAAGGTTAGTGTGGGATTTTCAAAGACTGAAGTTTACGCGGACAAAGTCCCGGGCGGTGGCTATATAATTTAAAAAAATTGAAATCCTACCATTTTGTAAACAAAATCTGAAACAATTTTAAAAATGTTAATGTGTGTTAAAATAATTAAAAAAAAATATTTGTTTACAAAGATGGTAGGATTTCAATTATTTTAAATTATTAAGTACGACAGCACGTATATCTTGGTAAACTGGGAGTGACAGAATAGCATCATTCATCATATTGCCGGTGGACCAGCAGGTACTCTATGCAATCCCTAGGAATTATATACATTACCTAGGCAAAATATAAAATCGAAAATAATATTTATTAAAATGCCATACATTGCCTAGACGCCCAGGCATTCTATACATTGTTTAGGTATTGTATAGAATACCTGAATTATACAGATTGCCGGTAACATATATACCTTGACAAGAATAACATTATACCATGCACTTTTATTTGCTCTACAAATCCAGAAAAGGAGTATTTTATATTACTCAGTTTAGACTTGACTTTTAGTAGTACGTGTGAAAGTTAAAAAGCTACACCATCGCTTTGCAAGTCTACGGCAGGGCCATACTCTTGCTAATTTTCTTGTAATACTTAGGCCCGTATTACAGAATGACAATTATGTGTTAATCTTTACTTGAGTATATTTAGAAAGGGTACGTATGTGCTATATATAGCGACATCCCTTTCTAACTATGCTCAAGACTAGATCAATCACTTAGAATCTTTCTATAATACGGGCCTTAGTGTTGTAAATTAAAAACGTACAAACATACTCATACACGCCTCAGGTCAACTACAATAAATTAATACTAAAAAATTGCAATGCAACAAGAGCCATTTTTAGTTAACAATTTTCAAATAAATTAATAAAGTCATTGATAGAGAATTGCGAAGATAAGGAACTGGCGAACAAAACGGTATAGTTACGCATCTGGTCAAACTACTTTTTTTACAGTCCGGATGAGTCGGGCCCGTTGAATTTGAATATCAAATATTGTTTAATAAATCCGCCTAAAATAGTGTTGAAATTACTAAATTTCTAAATCACAAACCATGCTAAAAGCTCACTGGAGGTATGTCATTCAGTTTTAAACAAAAGGTGTAATTTTCATTTATACTAGCGGCCGCCCACGCTTTATTCACGTTAAAGGAGATTGCTCAAATTAGCCCAAATGTACAAAAAATATTGACATATACGGTATTTCTTGGCGTAATTTATACTTTATTTTACAGTCATTTGATTTTAACGGACACCTTTGTATAATATATTCATTTTAAAAAGGACTTTTAATTTTACCGGTTTGGAAAACATACGAATCATTTTTAATGGCTATGGGTGTAGTAACATTCAGCCAAAGACTGATCGAAGTTGTTTATATACGAGTAACATCAAAACAAATCTATTTTGTAAAGATCGATGAAATAAATCATTTTTTTATTACACTGTGTTATTAATATCCACAAGTATACTATCATTTTTACTACATGCAAATGTGCTAAGACAAATATATGATATATAGATAAATATATATAAATATATAGATGGTAGGCGACATCAAAAAGTCTATTACCCTACATTTTTCGCAAAACACCTCCACAAACACATTATAAGGTGTAATACAATATAAATCTGAAAATATGGTTATAATATAAACATAACAAAAATAATAAGCTTTCTTTAGTTAACGAGAGTTTAAAAATTCTCTCTAATCTGTGGCTCATTCACAAATAACACACAGTTTCTGTCACAGAGTAACTTATTATAACCGGAAATGCATAGATGATACCTGATTTTAAAAGTTACTCTTATGCATTAACTTTAAAAACACAAAACTATCTATTAATCTACATGCTTTATATACCTGAATCTAATACATAATTTCGGTACTTGGTTTGATTCCCTAGTTTGCTATATAACTTATTTATTTTTTATTATTGAAATACCTATGTACCTATTTGCAAACATAACCATTTTATACCATTTACCATTTTATAGAAGTTAACAGGGGTGTCCGTCAATAATATTCGTTTCTACAGTAATTTATATATAATTTCGAATCTAGCAAAACAATTATTCATAATTATTGGTCTTTAGGCCAAACATGTATGGAAGCTGAGCAATCTCCTTTGTTTTGTTTTAATCCCACAGGAACCTAACGGTTAATGTTTCTGGAATAAAAAGTCCCTATATCTCAATCCAGGTTCCGTTTTTGCGTCATTGAATAACAAATATACAATGATTTACAAACACATGAACTTTCATATTTATAATATAAGTTGAAAGTAGGACGTGTGTGATTGTAGTATATATGAATATATGTGTCAAAAGAATAGGTTAGCCCAGCTTTAACATAAATGAAGATAATGCAGACATTATCACCCACTGACCCGCATTGGATTAGCCTGGCAGAGTTCCGTTACGATTTACTCGAATATAAGAAAAGGCAAAACCTTCGGCCTATCACGAATTGTATAAAAGTTATTATGTACATGCTCGCTTTCAGTAAGTGGGTACATTAAATTAACGTGTTGAATTAAATGATAACAATTACACAAACATAAACATTTTTAATTTTGAAATAATATATTAGTAGGACACGCAAACAAACATAGATCGAAATAGATACCGCAATTGTTTGTACTTCGTGTGCCGAAAACATGCCAAAAAGGAAACGAAACGACTTTATTTTTCGCTATTTTATTAATTTTCATGACTGTTCTCGATATGGATGCTGATTGCATTTTTTTTAATTGTCTTATTGTACCATAATAAAGTGTAAAAACGAGAGAATTGAAACGGGTTGCCGGTGCCCATGCTTTTATTTGCCACTTAATTTGCCATCAAAATGCGACACACTTGATTTCCATACAATTTGACGCACATGCGTCGTCTACCTAAGGCCGCGTTGTTTTATCGATTTTGACGAATGGTTATTATTTCATACGATTTAATTATAGTCAAATTTAACTATCGATGAAATAACGAGCGCCTTATCTAGGTCTGTGGTAGACTACTTGTATATTTCGTAGTAGCTACGAGCTACTGCATTTTTCCCGTTACGACGTAGCTTCATACGCGTCGCAGTGACGTATTTTCCACTTCAAAGGCATTGATCGTTGCCAATGTCTTCGCCTACCGAGGAGGCTAAATTATGTTTATTTTCTATTATCGTGGTTTGACGAGCACAACTTAATGCACCTAAATAAAAATAAAAAGATTTACTCTCAAATAATTATATTTTAGTACTTAAATGTTTTCCAATGAAATTTTCACGCATATTCTCATTTACCAAATAAAAAATACTAAAGTTTAGAGTACTAGTAGTTCTCAAATGGTTCTTTTACTGGCATTTCCTAACATAATATTACTATATTATAAAAGATTTTATTAAAGGTCTATGATAACTTGAAATTTTAAAAAGACACTGATGATAATTCAGTACCTATATCTGCAATGTTAAATAGCAGTTAGATTTATAAGTAGACAAACGTCAGTTTGTGATTATTTGTCAACAGATCAAATTGCAATTAACTCATTTGTATTACCACCGTACGTCACGGGAGCCATATCACCGGCACTTCATCAGGGAACAGGGCCGAGATGACATCCTCAAGAAACTCCGGATCGAACGTCTCGGTAGAGGGGGCTTGATGTTTTAGCTTGCTCCTCACCATTCGGCGCCCCCACGGATCCTTATCCAGATACGTTAAGAATTCCTCCTAGGCCCTCGTTATGGAACGAACAATCTCATCTTTGAGGGCATTCTCAGTAACCTGGTAGTCTTCCCTGAGCCTCTCTTCTTCCCTCGGTGTACGTCTAGCGCTTTGTCGGCAGCGCTGCAGGAGAGTTCGGGCATTTAGGCTGCCGATTTCTCCTCGCGATTTCTCCTGACCGGGTATACCCGGGTCCTGCTCGGGGTGGACCTTAAACGCGGCATCCTTGCGTTACAGACCGCTCTCATGGCCATGCCAAGTCTGGATATTCGATCCTCAATCCCCCAAGAATCATCAGCATCCAAGTACCAGGCCTGGGTGATCGCCGCCTTCACCAGCCTTCCCGTGTTTAAACGGGAAATCGCCCAGCGTATAAAGTGCGCTCGCCGATCCTGGATAGTTTATTTCCCACCATGTGCTGGGGGAAGACTCGGAACCGGATATATCGGTGGTCCGACAACGTCTCCCACAAATTCCAATACTGCACCTCTCAGGTCCACTATAGACCCTCCCCGCTGCCTCACGCATGTTAGTTCTATGCCCCTATCCGCGATCCATAGGCCCAATTGCGCTGCCCAGTTCAGCACCATTTCCTACTTGCGATTTGCGGTCGGAGCCATATGTTTGTTATTGAAGTCCCCGAGCACAATGACTTTTTCCGAGGCCGCGCGTCTAACGGCTGCCTTAAGGGAGTCACACCTGCAGCTCCACCAGTGTTCTATAAGGGGAGAAGTACACCCCAACGAGGATAAACTCTCCCCAAGTGGCGACTACATAACCCATCCCTCTCTCCTTTGCCGTCAGCGCAGGCGATTGTGCCGTTTGGTTCCAAACCAAACGGTACAATCGCCTCCAACAACGGCAGCCCTGCCATCCAGATCACCTTCCCAATTTGATCTGACTGGCTGGCGATAGGGTTCCATAATTACAGCAATATCCACCTGCCATTCCGCCGCGGACTCTAGCATCCTGCGATTTTATCACGTCATTGTTAGTTTTTTGAGGTCATCAATTATATGCATACCAAACATCAAAATTCGTCCAGTAGTTTTTGCGTTATTGAGAAACAAACATACAAACTTTCACATTTACAATATAAATAGGATATTTTGTGATCACAAAATCTTTTAACAGTATTGTAAGCGGGAACTGTGTCATTCGCTTGATAAGTTTGTTGTTTTGTTTTAGTGATGGTGTTTGGAGATGGTTGCGCGCGGTGGGCGCTGCAGCGGGCAGCGCTGGTGGCTTGCTTACTGGTGGGTGCGCTGGCTCCACAGCGGATGGAGCCGTGCGCGAGCAGCCCACTGTGTTCATGCCGCACGGCACACATGTCCTGCATCGCTGTGCCTCTACACAGGTTCCCGGGTATGATGGATATCTACTTGCAAATGAATGAGGAATGAAGGCTAGCTTCCTTCTAACAGATGCGCTTATTAAATAGTTTTTTCTAGTTGTGTATGGCAGGTGCTACAGTTTAAGTCCATAATACTTTTTATTTTAGTTTAGGAAATTATGTTAGCAAGGTATATTTATATATATCAAGATTTTAGGTACTAGAAAAATTCAACTGCGTTCAGGCATCAAGTTGGAAATGAACCAACAGCCTTTGCTAAAGGATATGTCATTATATTTGCATATGTCCCAATCTGGTATTTACACAGGCACGACTAATATTGATACGATATGACATCTATAAGAAATTGAATGAAATTCACAATGAAAAAGTCAATTGAAAACGTTACATAAAATATTTACTAACAATGTATTTGTTTATAATATAATTTTACAAGAACTTGACTTCCACTTTTATCCTGATAAATATTACAACATATGCAAAGAAACAATAATTTTCGGGAATTTCGTTGAATACAATAATTTCCGTGTAACTGCTGTGAGCAGTGACTCATGTTTTGTTCAATATTCTATTTTATGGTTTCGGTATTCGTCGATCTGTTTTCGATATTTAAAGGTATACGGTTTTCTCTAAGGTAAACATTTCTTTTCCAGAATGGCCTCGAATAGAGTTGCAGCATTTGGATATTAGCATGTCGAATCTGGAAGTGCTCCCAGAAAGTGCATTAGATGGGCTTAGATTGCAAACATTAGTTTTAGTAGCTAACAAATTACACCACATCGAACTTCATGCTTTTAGGTAATTATTTAAACTAATAAAGATTCGATAATGTACTTTATATAATTTTTAAAATTGAAATTAACTATTTGTTTTCAGTTCAATGGCTATAACATTAGCGTCGCTAGACCTCAGCTACAACGAATTTACTGAAATACCACAACAGGGATTGAAAGATCTTAAAGTTTTAAACTGGTTGAATCTACAGAAGTAAGCATAGCTAACTCATTTATATCTTATTAAATTTATCTTAAAGTTCAGATGTGTCTATATTGTCCATAATGTTTTGTTTTAGTAATAACATAGCTCATATTGGGACAGAAGTAAGATGGCATCACTTGGAAGATACACTAACGAGCTTATCTTTAAGCAACAATCAAATCACTCAGCTGAGATCACACGCTCTGTCATCACTGTATCACCTACTTCAATTAGATCTCGATGGGAACCACCTACGCAGCATCAGTTCAGACTCCTTGCCTACATCACTAACAATCCTTAAACTATCCAATAATTTCCTACATGAAATTTCTTGTGATTTATTATTTAATCTTCCCAGATTGCAGTCCGTTCACTTGCGACATAATTTTATCAGTTCCAACTTTAATTCCACTTGTTCTAGTAACAGAAACAAAAAGATAGAAAAGTTGGACTTAAGTAATAATAGGATTAATGATTCATCCGAGATTTCCGTTCTTCGAGAAATTCAATTTAGACAAATTATTTTAGATCTTAATGAACTAACCATCTTACCGAGGTTGGTGTTTGCAAATAACCGAATTGAAAAACTGTCTATATCTTACAATAAATTGAGTTCTATTTATCGAGACGTATTTTTATCGTTAAAAAACTCGCTGGAGCATCTGGAAGTGGAACACAACAAATTGTCTTACTTGCCGGACAGTCTGGCTCAGGTCGCGAGACTGCGCCATTTATCTTTAGCCTACAACCAACTAGAGGATTCTCCCCCGCTTCCGAGCCGGATTCAAACACTTTCGCTCGCAGGCAACTTTTTAACTTCGATACCTTCTACTCTACAAACGTTGGAGCCCGGCTCCATTCGTTATCTCGACTTAAGTTACAACAGGATATCTAATTTGTTACCAAACGAATTCTTCGACTGGTCCACTTCCCTTGGAACCATCAATTTGAGAGGTAACAGGATTGCGCAGATTTATAAGAACGTTTTTCCGGCAACAATGCCAGTTAAAGAGATTAATTTGAGCTTTAACGACTTGTATTATGTGCATCCAGAGTCTTTCTCCAACGTTACTAGTTCCTTGCAAGTGTTGGAGTCTTCGTCGACGCTTTTTAGTGGATATTTTCCGTTTGAAGTAGATGAAGGTCTAGATAATCTCAACGTTTTATCGTTTGATAACAATGACTTTCATATTCTTAAGTTATCAGATATTGCTGCCTTTCCGTACCTAAAATACCTTAACTTAGATTACAATAGAATTATAGATATCATTGTAGGAGAAGACCATGAAAATATTTCCCTCCCCCTGAGTAATATTCGAATAGCATACAATTTTTTAAGTTCTATACATAGCCTAACCTTTGCTTATATGCAAGACTTAAGAAACTTAGATTTATCTTATAACCGAATCAATAACTTAACTAAGCACAGTTTCACTAACTTACCAAACTTGAGATATTTATCTCTTGCGGGTAACATAATCGATTCGATGGAAGCGGAGGCCTTCGTTAATTTACCGAAACTGGAAATATTAGAACTCCAGGGAAATAACTTAACTTATTTATCATTAAATTCATTTTATAACGTGTCTCATCCAGAAATCACATTTACTTTAAACGTGAGTAGGAATCACTTAAAATTTATAGAGGGTGAATATACTATATCAATTAATATATTTGATGGATCTCACAACGAGTTCTATGATGTGCCAAATATTTTTTTTATGACCATAGAATCTTCCATAAGACAAATTATTTTATCACACAACAAAATAACTCATATATCTAGTGAAGCATTTGGTCAATCTATATATTTAGAGATTCTAGACTTGCATAAGAATAGTGTAAACACTGTTAAAAGAAAATCTTTTTCGGATCTAATATCGTTGCAAATTTTAGATCTATCTTACAATGTAATAACGCAAATGTCTGTAGAACAATTTTGTAATTTAAATAAACTAAGGTACTTAAAGTTAGATCATAATAATATAAGGCTTCTTCCTAGAGATGTGTTTAAAAATACTATAATAGAACATTTAGACCTAAGTCACAATGACATATCTTTGTTTCCTGTTACGGCGCTCTCCCAAATAGGCTTTACTTTACGATACTTAGACTTGTCCCACAATCGCATAGAATATTTAGATAGTAACATATTCCGGAACACTCAATTCCTACTAAATTTAAATTTGGGACACAATCTACTAACTGTGCTATCCGATAACACGTTTTCGAGCCTCGGAGGCTTGCGAGAACTGGACCTCGGCTTCAACTCTATAAAGGCAAACTTTAAGGAGTTGTTTCACAACCTTCCGAACTTAAGGCATTTGAATCTTGCAAATGTAAGTTTAAAGTCAGTGCCTTATCTACCTTTAACAAACTTAACCAGTCTCAATTTGACTTCAAATTACATAAACAGCTTTAAAGAGACTGATGTTAAACGACTAGTAAATCTTCGCAGCTTAGATATTAGCCATAATCGACTCACTTCTCTAGTGCCAAAAATGTGGTTACACTTGACAAGTTTGAACTTACTGGATGTTTCGTACAACCCTATAGTTAGAATAACGCCAAATAGTTTCAAAATGTTAAATAATTTGTCCTACTTAAACCTTAATGGACTCAAATATTTAGATATAGTTGATCAAGATTCCTTCCGTCCTTTAATATCCTTGAGATCTTTGCATCTCCAGACCTGGTCCACGATAAATCATTCCACATTTCGCATTTGTAATATCACATCTTCCCTCCCTTCTTTATATAAATTAGTAATACAATGGACAGACAATGTAATGGATAAACAACTCCACGGAATCGACGCGAGAAACATACGCTACTTAGAAATCAGAGGAGAAAGCCTGAAAAGAATCACTGATGAAGCGTTTGAAATGTTTACCAATAGCCAAGAAATATTCATAAGGATAACGGCTACATCCTTGCGGAAACTACCGACTGAGTTTATGAAACATCTAGGACAAGTTCCGCAGTTGGGCGTTGACTTGAGTAATAATCAACTCACAACTCTAAATCCCGCCATCTTCTATCCAAATTTCACAAGTTGGAGTCACGTAGCAACAAAATTACTATCAGGTAAGCATAAAGTTTAGTTAAGAGGTAATGATTTATACTTTATCAGATAAATGAGAAAAGTCTTCGATAACTATGATCATTTTCCTATTTCAAGAAACGGATAAATTAGAAATTAGTTACGTGAGTTCAGAATATTGGTTTCACGTTCTTATAAATGGTCCAATTAAAAAATAATCAAATAGATATTATTATAATTTTTTTAGCATGTATGCAAGCATGCTCTTTATTTAAATCTAAAGAAAATACTACTAGAAAAAAATAGATAAAGAGAATAAAGAAAAACATAGAGAAATAGATAATGTGTTTACCTAAAGTAATATTGTATTAAAACATTATTCAATAAACAAAATTTTAACCATCGACGCACTATATTAACATTTTTTTGCGATACCCTAAAACCATTCTTGAAGCCACCGAGTGTAAATTATGATAAATGAAGTTTCATGTTGTGGTTTAATCAGGGTTTAATCAATCAAAATAGTTCAGTGAATAGGTAAATAAGGTTGAAACTGTTGTTGGCCACACAACCGAAGTTCATCAATATCATCGAACATTATCGACAGAATTCTGTTTCCCTGTCGGATATAATGGACGCTACCAAATCAAATATTAAGCTATAAAGTTAAACGATTGTTCTTAAAATAATCTCACATTATAATTAAATTGTCTATGGAAATGATTTAAATATTGGCGCGAGGCGGTCAAACCTTTTATCTACTTAATGAACTCTTTCATAATGGGTTTTAATTTATAATAAGGAACCCGAGCTTGTAGATTACGCTATAGTACTTGATTGAAAATGTATTTTTTATATAATAAATTATACATAAAAAAATACATTTTCATTCAGGCTTGGCCTAAAAGAGCTTAAATGGCTCAGCAAGAGTATTTATTAAATACTTAAGAAAGTTTTGCTAAATTATTCCCATAACTATTAAAACTAGTATTGAAGTAATTAAAAATATTAATGACCGGCTCTTGTCGACAGTCCAACAAGAAATAAAAGCAATTAATAAAATGAAACTTTCAAAAACGATATATGTCATGACATGACACAGGTCTCCGGACATGACTTGTTATTTTAGTTTAATTTTCTACCCATTATAATTACAATACTATAGCTATACTTTATTTTGTGACATGCATAAAATTACGTTTTATCGGGTGTTAATTTTAGGTGGATTAATTTTAACGGGCAACCCACTTCGCTGTGAATGCGAGCTGGCGTGGCTCGGAGCGTGGCTACGTCGGTGGCTGCAGGAGAACGAGGCTGGGACAGAACTCCGGCGTGAAGTTCGCAGCGCCACTTGTAAGGACCAACATGGCCGCCACGTCCCACTACTCCAACTTCGCGCTGATGAGGCGGAGTGCCACGCCAGCGCCCTCTCCAGTGATGCACAACCAAACTATACCGATCTAGTATACACCCTCGCGATAGCCTTATGGATCCTCCTCCTTAGATGATACGCATCCGTCGTCGTTGATAGAATTTTGTAAATATATTTCATTCACAAGGTTCCTTAGACCGGTTGTCTACTATACAGGCAGACTGTAGTTTTCTACACACTACAGTTTTAAAAAGAGTAGGTATTTGACATGTATAGGTAGCGAAATTAATAATGAATTGAATATCTCATAATTATGCTCTAAGGCGCGTGTTATCATGTTGAATCTCACAATGTAAATTGTAAAATTAATTAGAGAAAATTTGTAATGTGTCATCGATATTATTAGAGTCAATTAACTTTTTTGCAAAATTTTGGATATGTTATATTGATTTTTTACCCCTAACAAACAGCACACCTAATAATTAATGTGATTGATTACAATGAAAATAACTTGTCTGTAAATTTTAATGAGTAGTGACTTTATTCGTTACCTGTGTAAATATGTAAAAAAAGTAAATATTTTTCCAAAATATTATCGTTTTGTTTTCATGTCATCTTAAATCCTTAATTATTACGCACTGCTACCAAACGATGTGCAGTTGCAGCGGGGTTGTGCACATCGGCTGCCGTAATACAGCTTCGAAAAAAGATAATAGGGATGATAACTAACTTTTTTAGGGTTCCGTACCTCAAAAGGGAAATACGGAACCCTTGTAGGATCACTTTGTTGTCCGTCCATCCGTCTGTCAAGACCGTTTTTCCCAGGAACACGTGGAGGTATCAAACTGCAATTAATATCTAATTCTCAGGTCTACTGTCCCTTGGAGCTGTGAAAAAAGCAAACTTCTAAGCCAAAGCAATCAAAAGATACAGCCGTTTATGCCGCAAATTTTCGAAACTCGCACGGGAACCAAAACCTGGGTAAAAGACAGGGTACTTCCCGTGGATGGAAATGGAAATTGGAATCCTGAAATTTGGTACGAAGTAACGTTTTATAGTACAGATAAAGGACAAATTGCGAAAACCGTAAATTTTTAGTTACATCATATAGTAAAAAAAATTTTTAATAATTATTAAAATACACCTACAGGTTTGTACGGAACCCTCGGTGCGCGAGGCGAACTCGCACTTGGCCGGTTTTTGTTTCGTCTATCAGGTAGATTATATATATTGCATATTGCATTATATATTGCACACGCATTTATTTATTTTTCTACATAATCAGAATATTACAGAAATATATTGAAAAGAAAATAAAAAGTTAGGTAATGTCCCTGCACCCCCTAACTTTGACTTTGTAATTTTTCGTTGATTGAGAATAGAAAGTATACGTGTCCATTATTTTATGATAGACTAACTGACGGACTAAATAGAATTGCCTACGGCCAGGAGAGAGAGAGAGAGGACACGAGACACATATTTTAACTAAAGTGTAAGAGTTTGTGAAGTTAGGCCTTGTAGAGTCAGAGCGTGTAGTAACTTTTTGACAGTGCGAGTCATAGGTTTCGTCTTGGCAACATTTTACATGAAAATGTTTTTGGTGGGTCTTTCCTAAATTATGACTATGACTGATTCAACATATTGTTCAGAACGCATATTCTCATATCCGGAATGTAGTTCCTAAAGAAACCAACTGCAATCATTCAAATGAATATCCACTAATTTGGAAATAAAATAGAACGTTAACAGTGTATGCATACGCTTGATTTCGGAACTAGAACAAATCAACGAAGTGATTGCATATCGACTGACTATTTCGGCTGCTATTATTACGCTGGAAATCGATTTGAATGTATTTCGTACCGTTGTATAAGTATCATTAAGTTCGATGCTTAGCGTGTTTATAGGATTTGACATTTTCAAATAAAAAAAAAGCAAATAAGTCACATAAAAAACGCAGTCGAGTACAATAATTACTCATCGATACGCAAAAGATTTGTTTTATGAAGATAAACATATAAATCTAAACAGGTTGGTGGATACCTCTTTCTGTGTTCTGTGGTGGATATCTAAATTACTTTCATTCTGTTCCAATCTTCTTGGGACGAGTTACCTATGACGGAATGGAAGAAATACTTGTACATTTGACTAGAGCGAATGCAAAGCCCGGATTCGAGTTAAGTCCTAGATACGAGATGTAATTTACTAGATGTCCGAAGCCGAGTTGGTATTATTACTTTTATACATTTTGACGTATTCCAGAATTTACATTATGCCATTACCATTTGTATTCTCGTAAGTAAAGTGGATACTCTTATAGAATGAGTTATGAACACATATTTATTTAAGGATACAGTTAAATTGCTAAAAAATCGCTCAATAACTTCTACAATTACATTTTCAAAGTAAATTGTTTTGGATCAGTTACTTCTAGAAGAGTAGGTCTAAAATAAAAACTCGACGAAATCTCAGGCTAACTTAACTGTAAGAAAAATACATTTTATCTATATTTTAGCAGATGCATACCCATTCATAAATATTTAGTGATAATAATTTAATTCCAAAGATGAAATATAACATATTCAACGGGAACTAGATAGCCCTAGCTCAACGTCCATAAAACATAACAATGCGCATAAATTTAGTTCCCTGAAGTAACTAGAGTACTGGCCCACAAAAGCAACACGTGACAGAATAGATCAACATAAATCATTGTAGCTGTGTTTGCAATTAAGCTGGAAGGCACCGACATCTCTCGAGAACCGCCTCCTGCCATACAGGAGCCTCCGCACCACAACCATGACACTTACTTAATTAAAACATCGCGGTCTCCATGTACTCAACGTAATCACATGCTTTTAAAAACGTAACAAACTCAATTAATCCAGCAGGGCGCATCACCATCGTGAGTTATAATCATAAAAATGTATACATCGAGACGAAAAATAATCATGCTAAAAGCTCGTAAACATTTGACCCTTTTGAAAGTCGCTGCAGAGTAGACACGTAAAATATTAACTTTGGCAATATTCTAAGTTTACCCTCGAAACTTACGAGTACTGGTAATGACAGTTTTCTTTCACCTCCTTCACGCGATAAACGCTCCTGTGCTGCCAATGATAACTCAAAGAATAACAACACTCCTCAGAAAATGACTTTGCGTAGTTTATTGCCCCCGTTTGCGTATATAAGGGACTAAGATGTTTACGTTAAATGGGCAATCAGCCCGCACAGATGGCGTTCATTTACCTAAACATCTGTAATATTCGCAATTAGACCCGTGATATATCTCACCGGTGACAGGCGCGCAAGCTCTAATACGCGAGGATTAAATCAGAGTCTGCGTTCTTGTAGAGATTCGAGCGATCTCACAGTAGCTACCACCCCGTTCCTCGTCCTTAAGCTACCTCCACAATACGGCTCTTTAACGTCAACGAAATGAACGCCTTTATTACAATTTACGCATCTACGGGGTCACAGCAAGAGGTCACTCTATAGGACGATTAAAAGTCAAACATTTTCTGAATAATTTAATAATATGATAATAAAGTTATGACATGAAACAAATTAGCATTAACGTCTGTTTAAAGTACCTAAATATTTTGGGCGACATTTTCATGTTTGATTGATTAATTACACAAAATAATAGACTTTACTATTCATAACACTAAGAAAATAATTTAGCGACCATGGACTGCAAGCGAATAATAATATCGTTTAGATAGCAAGAGCTTACCAAATACACCCTGTGAGTTTAATATAAGGCATATTTGAAAACCGACAACCTATCACTATAGTTTCCGGACAAAATCTTTATTTCAATATATACTTTGACCCTAAATAATGATTATGTAATTGTTCTTAGACACTGATTTTATATGCGAGAAAGTTAGCAGCTGGTGGCGTATTTCAAGTTTTCTTCCCAATTCAGCTTGAGATATAATTTGACTTTTCATTTCAGGTTTACTAAAATAGTAATTATTTACGAAAATCAAAATGATAACTATCGTTCGCGAGCAACTTTTTTACTTTTAAAATAAATCTTAAGCTTCCTAAAACAAAAATAATATGATATCAAACCCATTTTTTCAGTTTTACTGCTACATAAATATTACACCCAAAAGAAATATTTTTAAGTTACAGTAAAATAAATATTTACAAAATAATTCATTGTGCATTTGGTGAAGCATCAAAGAAGCGGCAAATAATTTAAGAAAACAATAAGCATCATTATGGCAGTAGCTATAAGTATACCTAGTTATGTATATTATATATATTATGGTACTGAGCCTGGTATACATTCAGTCAACGTTTTACCACAGTGAATGAAACTCGGAAAGGGAATAAACATGTCCACGGGCACGACGTGCTTTCCTACTATTTTAGTATGGACGTGGCTCTACATCAAGGCACCAAGAGGTACGCTCCACGGAATTTATACGATCGCCCAACTTTAACTCTCGACTGGACGATTCCCGACAACGGAAAATAAATCTAGGCAAACTGTTAAACAATTTCGACTTTGCAAACATGCAATGTTTTTAAGATTGCCATGGCAACCCATGGCTTTTCTGTATTCTTTTAACTGCATTGTGTTGTTTTTATAATAACTTTAAGGATTTTTTGAGGTATATTGGCTATATCTGGGAGCTAGTAGTGCAGCGGTTTCGGTTCGTCATTGTGGAATTTATGCAACAAATGAACCGAATTTATGCAACCTTTTGGTTCAATTTTTGTCCATTAGTTGGACTGACAATCAGACTAATCTGTCAAACGAGTATTATTGAAAGCTTATCAAAAGTAACTATCAAGTTCTGGTACCACATCTGTATTGCTATTAGCTTTGTGGATACTAATCCACACTGAGCCCTAGTTGTGGATCATAGTTTGTACAGCCTATTCATTACATAGTAAGTTCCATTCATTTTTAGATAGATAGATTACGAAGATATCAATAGGAAGATGTCGATGATGATGACTTTATCTATTTCATCTATTGGTATTGTTTTTGTGCAGGAAAAATAAGTTCTTACTAACACACCATCAAAGCATTCAATTATAAAGAACCTAATCAAAGTTAATTCATTTGTCTTATAATTTTAACACATCAGAGAACCCTAGCAGCTTCTGAATTGTGCTACATCAGAATAAATTAGTGTGCCCTTTGTGAATCCACCGCAGCGTGTAAGCACGGCGCATATTGGTTTGGGGTATTCAACTACTCGAAGGCAAATTCACACTTGCCTCTATATAGGTATAAGCAATGTTAGCAGCCATTCTCTATTATAACAAACGAGATAATTTACGCTGTATATCCCTTCTAGTTCAAGATAACAAAGCCGCCAGATCTTACTCTTTTTTGCTTTCGACATTTACAGTGTCTGGCAATAAATACTACTGACAGAATGAGTCTGGTAGTATAAATTTAAAATCTACTATATAAAAATAAGTCGGGTTTTCCTTCTTGACGCTATAACTCCAGAACGCACGAACCGATTTCCACGGTTTTGCATTCGTTGGAAAGGTCTCGGGCTCCGTGAGGCTTATAGCAAAGAAAATTCAGGAAAAATTTAAAAAAAAAATCG